TAATTAAAGTCTCCAGGCATTATAAGAGCAAATGAGGAAACATTGATTCAGGTAAACCTACTAACACTTGGTAAAAACAATAAGAGGCTGTGGCATTTGAGACTGGACCCCACCCCTCTCTTTTCCTTCTCCCAGCATGGCTTGGTGGAAGCTCTGCCTCAGTGGGGCATAGCCAAAAGGGGTCATTCTCTTTTCAGTTCCTAATCAAGGGCTACTGGATCCAACTGGGAGGAGCAGACCACCAGAATTTCTCATCCCATCTAAGTTGAAGATGCTATTGTTTAAAAATTTAATTTAATGCAATGTTAAGTTCTGGGATACATGTGCAGGACATGCAGGTTTGTTATACAGGTAAATGTGTGCCGTGGTGGTTTGCTGCACGAAACAACCTATCACCTAGGTGTCAAGCCCCACCTGTATTAGCTATTTATCCTGATGCGCTCCCTCCCCCACCCCCCTAACAGGCCCCAGTGTGTGTTGTTTCCCTCCCTGTGTCCATGTATTCTCATTGTTCAGCTCCCACATATAAGTGAAAACATGCAGTGCTTAGTATTCTGTTCCTACGTTAGTTTGCCGAGGATAACGGCTTCTAGCTCCATCCACGTCCCTGCAATGGACATGATCTCATTCCTTTTGATGGCTGCATAGTATTCCGTGGTGTGTATGTACCATGTTTTCTTTATTCAGTCTATCATAGATGGGCATTTGGGTTGATTCCATGTCTTCGCTATTGTGAAAAGTGCTGCAATGAACATACACATGCCTGTATCTTTATTTTTTAAAATCTTTTTTTAAAGACAGGGTCTGGCTCTGTTGCCCAGGCAGGAGTGCAGGGGCATGATCTCAGCTCACTGCAACCACTGCCTCCCAGGCTCAAGTGATCTGCCCTCCTCAGCCCCCTGAGTAGCTGAGACCACAGGGACACATCACTATGCCTGGCTAATTTTTGTCTTTTTAGTTGCAATGGGATCTTTCTATGTTGCCTAGGCTGGCCTCAAGTGATCCTCCCGCCTTGGCCTCCCAAAGTGCTGTGATTACAGGTGTGAACCACCATGCCCAGTCAGAGATGCTCAATTCCTGGTGAGTGCAGCTGAGGGGTTAGGGCCCTCTCTACCAAGCCCCTATCCATAAGATGCAGGCTCTACCTCAAGTACAGCAGGCCACAAATACTGGGGTCCCAATACCCTTGCCCCAGCTGACTTGGAAGGCTGTTCCATGCTGGGGAGAGATGAGCTGACAAGACCAGAGGCCACCACCCTGCCCAGCACCCAGAGGAGTGGCTCAGAGAGGTTGTCCAGGGGAGACGCGGCCTGTGCAGTAAAGAATTTAATCTTGCCCAAAAAGATGTCTGGTCTTCGCCCTAAGCTTCTTGGAATATCATGCCAAATAGGAGTGTCTTTGT